GAAACAGTGCTGGTGCTTGCGGAGCTTGGGATTGTGGTCATCAGCCTTGTGTAGAGTCCAAGTAATAACTTGGAGGTTACACAGTGCCAAATCTGTCCTCTCCCAATGTCTGAAGAGAGCAGCACTGGAGGGAAGGGCTGGTAATATAAACTTCTATGAGGGTCGGCATTAAGGGGAACCTGTCGCTTTCTCCTGTATCGGCAAAGCACGTTTACTCCAAGTCTAAGGCTAATGATAGGCATTAGATGATTGAAAACGTATCTGGCAAGAAACAATGTAAGTCTATGGAAAGTAACCAGCCAATAAAAACACTCACTAGCCAACCAATCTAAGCAAAATAGAGCCAACACCAGACGTGACCAGTCCCTACTACAACTCTACACCCCTCTCTTATTTTATGGAGATGAGGAGGGGTAGAGGTGTTTTCTAGTGCAGGCAGGGCTGACAACACTGACTGGGATCTCAGTGTTGCAAAGGGAATGTGTTGTTAGCTCAAACAGGAAGTAAACATTGAAAATAGTCTAATGTCAAAATTGAACTTTGACATTAGATTAGAATTTTTTTTTTAATTACACAGGAACTAGCATTATGAATCCATAGCCACCCCGCTGCTGGGGTTCAAGCCGTGCTGGGAGTTGAAGTTCCCCTGCAGCTGGAGGTCCCCCCCGTTGCCCCGCGGCCTCTTTTATACAGCCAGTGTTCATCTGGCCATGGCTGTAACAAAGCTTCCAGTAACACGCTGTATAAAGTCAAGCTCGGGTTTAAACTGAATTATGGATGCGGCATGCATCAGCAGAGTTATGAATCACACTGCCCGGATGTCGTTTAGCCATGAAAGAACAATTATGTGTCCTGCTAAATGTGATATTGTCTTCAGTGTACGGAAAAGAGCCGCATCAAAGGCCTGCTGTGCTGGGGGGTTCTACCAAAGAGGCAGGGACTCCAATCTAGTCTTTTCAGTATATTTTACATACACACTGGAGTCTTTATCAATAAATGCATCTTCCTTCCTTGGGTGACTTTTTTCTGCCTGGCTGCAATACTCACCCGATCTATGGCATGGTCCCCCATGGACTACCCACTTCCCAAACCAGCGCCAGTCCTCTTTTGTTTTTTTTGTGCTCAGTG